AAAACTGCCGGACTGAAACAATTATTCAGGGCTGGCCTAAAACGAAATGTGGGCGTACAGCCCCGCAGATTGTCAGCTTACGACCGATTTTGCCTGTGCCAAATGCGTTATGTTTTTACCTGATGATTGTATCTTCTTACCATGCCATTTTACCGTTGATTATGTCATCCCAAAAAACATTTCTGAAAGGTGTTTTTTATAAGATCGCTCGACAGGTGAAGCTAAAATTTATCCCATTACGTCTCAGTGGTAATCGTTCAGCTGTTTGTCTGATCGTTCTGGGAAGAAGACTACTCATACTGGAGTACTTTTCCAAGGCGTATATTCATATTAGGAGGCAGCTAGCTAATTACATGTTGTGGATGAGTTTCTGCGCTGGTGTTTCCATCAACTTAGAATAAAAATGCCTGTCACCACTAGCCTATAGAACAGGAGAGTCAGGTTGAAAAGGCTGAGTCTAGTCTTCCTCGTCAATTGTAAACCATAAACATGTAGTACGGTGGTCCAAAGCATTTTGCTGCCTTTGCGGTGCTGATGAATTCCTCCCAATTTTCTAACAAGACAATGTCTCTTCGTACCATCAACAAAGTTGTTTGGTGAATTGATGGTCCATGTGTAGCAGCCCGAGAATACTATAAGAATGTTTCCATTCCATCTACGCCTACATGAGGCGCCTCGATAAAAACGGAGGTACTCTTGTGGCCAAGCTTTCGGGGATCCGGTCACAATTTTGGGTTGGGTTTCGAGAATTCGTCTTTAAATTTCTACTTCCCATAACCCTGGTACCATCCGAATTTACTGACTCCGAACTTTTCGAGATACCGGATTCATTCTTGTCGATCAACGACCCACCGGGCCTCGATGTTATTTCAGCCAGTTGAATAATGAAATGTGCCTATTCATTTTTTACGGCTCTTTTGTTTATCGTGTACAGCTCTCTTCCATACAGGCGTGTGAGTTTCGCTTTTTGAAGCCACCCATGATAATATAGCCAATTCTTCAACCTGACATTCCAAACATTTTAGCTCTTCAGGAGAGACTCACTGAATTTTGATGCTAATAGTTTAACTTTTCCAAAGCTAGCTTTTCACATATCAGATATACATTTTTCCGTATATTCTTGACGGAACATACTAGTCATAAGGTTGCCAAAACACTTAGACGTCCAACGACGGGTTCCGCTCTTCTCGGGGCTCATCATCAGGTACACTCAGTCCCCGAGGTTTCGTCAACCATGTGTTCTACTAGGGCCCAAATTGTACGAAATTCTTCAACTGCCGCAGTTGCATATAATTTTGATTTCCACGGGACACTCAGCTGAATTTCAGCTGAAACTGTCGTTTATGGTATTCTTCAGTTGAATATGCTGCAACAAGTTCACCTAATCTTTCAGCTCGTACGGTATTCTAGGAGCTGCAGCACATTCTCATAAATACAACTATTCACAAGCTTGTTTAAAACACTCTGAAAGTCCACGATCGGTTTGTCTTCTTTGAACTCATTAGGTAAATGCAATCCTCGATTTTCAGTCAGTCTTATTTCCTACTCGATCGTGTACTGGAGAGAACTACACTCACCCGTACGATAAATTGTGTTCGCGGAGACTGTACCACGCATGTTAGCTCTGCAAGTAAGCAGAAAAACTTTGTTTTCGATGAATGGTCTGCTCCGGAAGCAAGCTTTGATACAAATATTCGACAATACGACATGCTTTCGGCAGCTTTTTTTGCACTAGAAATTCATAATATGGAATAAACATTGGAGAAGTGCATACCTTTGTCCAAATTTCAGCAATGCAGGTCTGACAACTTGATAAGTGTATCGAAATTTTCCTACGTCTGACTCACCTGATAAATCTTATGGTATTGCGTGAACAGAAACCAGGTCCTTCAGTGATTCTTCGATGCATTACTGAACCATATAAAAATTTCTCAAACTACAAATATGATCTTCGTTGGCCTACCACATTCATTATTTTATCAAATTATTTTCCTGTGTTATGTAGCTGTTCTGTAATATATGCATCTGGTAGTTTGTTCAACATAATAAGGCACACATTATTGTTTTGCTCGTTTTCCAGTAATCGGTCTGCCATTGAACACTAGCGATGTCTTCCCGAATGGTGATGAAACGTTTGAAAATAAATTGCCAAGCTTGGCCAATGGGCCAACAACAAAAGACCAGTAGCTGACAGTAAAACCCTGTTGGGATTTTTCATTGGCAAAAGCCTTTTACACGCATGCGCGTAGTAATCTGCATGCTAGTGATCCATATTATTGCATCCACAGTCACTTATTTCGGCAAAAATGGACATTTTAATGGCATACAGTCGACCAGCATTTAAACTAGTCCACTATCTTATGTATTTTCGCAACAGAGAAGCTTATGGGTTGATTTGGGCAGGCGATGTAATCAAACAACAATGTTGTAATGCTATCGTTAGATAGATGAATAATAGGATGCGCATTTTCAGGCGTTGGATTAGCTTCCCTTATACCTTACCGGTCATAGCAGACCGCATCGAATAGTGACTGCAGCTGGAAAGAAGCAGCCAATTATGTCTATGACGTCAAAATAGCATAGCAGCTGATTATGTTCGCTTAGCTGCCAAGCGACTAGATGCTCAAGAATACATAAGCAAACCTACAAAGAGAGCACTTGGAAAAAATGTGAAAGTGGCGAATGAGGCCCTCTTCGTTCCAAAAGATGCTGATTATAAACCGGCGACAAAAATGTAACTCTAACAGACTATATTGAGAGGTCACTGATGTAGGCTCAAAACTAATATCCCGATGGTCGCCTATGACTGTTAGTGCTGGTTGGAGCTCTGATATGTATCCTTTGACGTTGTAGTTATTGCAGTGTTGTTCACAGAGTTTAAGTGGCTGAAGTCAGATTGTGACCGGACATCAGCTGGTCATTGGACTCCGTCTTCACACCCCTGCAGTTGTATTGCCTAATTTGGGGCTAAACAAGACGAATGCGCAAAGGAACACTTATCTGCAAGTTAAGGTGGTGTTAAATATAGACAACAGAATCTCCCGGTGATAATATTCTCCAAATGTATGTCCTACCAGAATGCAGCCCCATACCCAGCGCTAGAAGGATAATCAAGATACCAACGTATATCCCTGGATGTGGGAAATGTGACAGACCTCGTGCAACAAGTATACCTGAAATATATTGCAAAAGATAAGTTCAAGATTCAGCTACTCGGCAAACTTGCAAGTTGGCAGAAAAGGAACCATACATGTTAATTTATCATAATCTTGGCAAAGAACGTTGTTGGCTATATGCTTCGGGCAATCTGTCACCGGAAAATGGGCCCTCCGTTTATTAAAATGTCCTATATTACTACGCTAAGTGTCTGGACGCACTGCGTCCAGAACCAGATTATGCTGTGTATGTCCCGGAATCTGAAAATTGTAGGTATTCTGATACACCACTGTTGCAGTTTAGAAACAGGCCTTTGTTTGGCATGATGTAGTCGATTACGTATTGGAGGATAGGAACTATGGTTAACTGCCCCACCGAACAAACAATCGTGAACAAATGTCAGTCTTCGCTAGCAACACTTGTATTATCGCGCGCACATAGCACAAATACGGAACTATGGCAACACTCCGGCACGCTTCATGACAACGCACTGATGATGTCATCTCGGTTGGTGATGAAAAGTTGGCACTCAAATCGTCTAGCTCTCCAAACAAATCAGCCGCCTTCAACACTAAGTGAGCTACCGAAATTCTCCTTACCAGCAGTGTGCTCAAAAATGAGATGGTCAGGTACATCTTCGTTGCCATTGCGACCTCGATGAGTTCAGTAATGATCGTGGTCAGTTCATGACAGAGGGATTTTTGGTGTCAATTTGTCTCTAAACCACTCGCTGTAGTCACAGAAGTCAAGCAAAGTATTGGACGTACCTGGAATCGGACCACAATGTAGTGTTTTATGAGGGCAGAAAGCGATTACTAGCCTTTTCTCAGAAAGTTAAAATGCACTGTGCTTTCAAGAATGCCACACGAATGGACCTGTTTCTCCGGCCACCGCACAAATTCGTCGGGCATTCTCATGTGTGGACAATGTACTACGGAGTTCGTAACCCACACTGATATCTGTTTCCTACTTGCTCCCTAACCTGATTACTTTTAACCAGAGATCTGGTGAAGAATTGAACTCTAGCCGTGGTTATCATCCAGCGGATTACTGGATCGCTCTGGCCACACCAACAATGCAGGCGTTGGATGAGATGAATTGGTCATTGTCCTAGTTGCATCAAATGTCCTTTTGCAGCTGTTGTACGATACTTCAACTGGGGTTGTAACTTGGGATCAGTTGAAAAAAGTGGTAGTAATCCAGGTATTACCGAAATAAAATTTTAGGTTTCTTACAGTGTATACTAATAAATTCAGTTGCGTAAATTATGTGCTGTCCGTTTCTGTTGACGCTGGCTGCTGAGTCCAGGCGACGCTCGTTAGGCTTGGAAAATTCGCAAGTTTAACCCATGTCTGGAAAATCCAGTCACAAGTGTCGTTCGATTACCTCTAGATCGTCGTAAATACATCATGCTTTTGGTGGTCAGTAGGTATGCTAACGGTAGATCTCGCCACTCTACTAATGCCGCTGTCCTCATAAAAACTACTCTCGCTTCGCTTAGTGTCACTGGATTGCGCGTCCACAATTTTCTCACATTGTGAATATACTGATGATGGACTGTCTGGCTGGGGTTCTGAAATTTCTGAAGCCTGTCTGTGTACCCCGCCGAATATTACCATGGTTATCCTCGGGGAATCTTTACTGCTACTAAATCTTCCGAATTGCTAAAGCGTAACACGTTTCTTCATTCATGGAAAGCGATTTCACAGCTATGTTAATATTTACTTCTTAGGTCAATTAGGTAGGAATTTTCAGGTTGTATCTAGTGAGGTGACCGAGATTGCCATTTCAAGTGGCTGCGGGGGGACATTCGTGTAGAATCTACGTTGGACACTGTCCAAAGTAGAATTATATGTGCTCTAATATTAAAAGCTGTACGTGTCTGGAGCTCTTATCTTAAGATTTATTAGTACAGCTAAGATGGCAGTTAGGTTATCTGATCCCTTTCTGCGTTCCTCGAGCTGCTGCTATTCGGGCTTTTGAAGCAGATTCACAAACGCATTGAAACAATGATGCAATCCACTGCCAAATTTCTGATAAGCACACGGAATGGTCTTCATTATGAATGGTGTTTCACGCTCCTATTATGGGAATAACACCCCATCCATGTTTTCTTTCGGAACACTTTTAACCTGGGCATGCGGTAAATCTTCAAAATTGCTGACTATTGGAAGTTTCCGAGAATATTACTTGTATACGTAGCTCGATGACTCATAGATAAGACTTTTTATGAGCTTATAATATTGACTGAAGAATATTTGCATGCAGTTTAGCATTTCTGCTTGTTCGCTTTCTGTTGTCTACGTTTCTAATCCCAAAACGTCCAGCAAGATATCACCGTTCGGAGGAATGAGGCTTTCGATTACACGAACTGAAATTGTAATCAGGCGGGAATATTCGTAGTGGTAACTCCTCAAACTTTCAAATAGTGATGCAAAAAACAATATCCCAACGTATATATTACACCTTAGAACGCAGCGTAAAACCATTATCATTTAGACGTTTTGTCACACTAAAAGAAATTTTCGGAAGCACCAATTTTGCGTTTACCAAAGAAATGGTATTTTTGACAGACCGGAGTGCAATATGCAAATCAAATCTGCCAATTCGCAAAGTACTGTCCTTTTGACAAAGAAAAAACTTCTGCCCGGAGAATTCAGAAATGTATCCAAATGCGTACCATCCATTAACTTATCCTTTAGCACGATTCCACATTCCGTCAGCCGAATGTTACGCAGTGTCAGCCACTCAAATGATTCTGCTGATGATGGGAAACTTCAAAACCAACCGCGGCTTAGGCTACAGATATTCCTTCAGAATGATGGTAAATCAGATCCGGTTTCCTGTTCCAGAAGTATGAGTGCTGTCTGTAGCTCAAATCTTCTCTGAATGAAATGGAACACCAAATGCTAGTGACCTGGTATGACATAGCCGAAATATTTCCATCGCGGTTTCGTTTTCACTCCGCTGAATGGAATGAATGAAATGAAATGAAATTCACTGTGGGCTGTAATCTTGCTTTGCCTACCTGATCAGATGGCCAGTAAGTTTACTGTGATCTGTTCATGAGATATGAGCCATGTTTGGAACATCTGAGTTACCAAACCAATCCATAGAAAAAAGAGTTCTCTTAGATCTAGCTTTGATTGGGTGTTCGATCGTTCAGAGCATCCCGCCTAATAAGCCCACTTTACCAATAAAACAATGCAGATGAACAAACTCACTTTACACTAAGGACAGAAACAACTACACAAAGGCCGCCTCAATTGGTGGTGTGAATGAAAATCAAGCTATTGAAGTAGTTTCCTGCGACTTCCTGCTGTGACACAAAAGCTGGAACCTGTAGTAAGCTGTTCCCAGTTTTCATTGACCTTATGAGTAGTTCAAATGAAGAAATTATTGGTGCACCCATCTCAGAGGATTACTCCGTTGAAGTAATCCACTCACGCTAGAAGTCAAATTTGTGAGTCAACCGTATGAGGAATCCTTTTGATTGAATTATGAAAGATGACACAGTGAGCAGTTTCTGTCCAGTCATAAATGTATGAACAGAAAAATTAAAAATGATCAATAAGTATGGCTATTTTGGAGTCTTGAACCAACGAGGTAATGCCAAGTACGTCTGAATCCCCATTTATCTTTTCCGTTGGCCTGACTTCAGACGTTTTCAGTTCGCCTACCACAGGTATTTCACGCCAGTTTGCGGAACTCTGCCGCAGTTTCAGTTCTTGCCGCACAGACTCCTCATCCGCGGAAGTAGAATGCGCTGATGTGTGAAGTAGTGTAATTTTCCAGTTCTCATTGCTTTCTTCATTATTATCATCATCGAAGTGATACCTTGGTACAGTGAGTTCCACTGGCGTTCGAAAATGCAACCCATGTGGACCACACATCACCACAGGACTGATAAGACGTGGTGATCTCTCTTCAGTTGCTCTGGCTGATCCAAGGGTGCAATCTGGATGGCTGTTGTAGATCTGCCGGGGAATACAAATGAAAACGCTTTGAAAACCAACTAACAAGGAAGATATGCGGCAATCGCAATGTGTATCACTTAAGAGAATTCCTTTTGGACTCACCAAGCACCAGTTTTCAAGTAATCTCCTTCGCACTAAGTGCAGCCATTTCTCCAGGACTATACACCCTCTGTACTACACCCTATGTACTACATACATTACTTTCAATTTCAAATCGGCATCTGCCTGCTTGAACAACTAAAAAGCCATCCCCACAACAAGGGGAATTCACTTGTATGTAGTTAAAAGATGAGACGGAAACTGATTCGAGCTTGCGGTAGAGTAAAGTCATCAAGTCTAACTATCATGAACCTACTCACCCTAAGGAATATCCGCTGCCTTTCGCAATGGACCGGTAAAGCTCCTTTGGGTATATGCAGTCGTACTTGATATTCCGGTAACTCCAGCGCACCACCTCTGTATCCGAATTCTCCCGCGCATTCTGCAAGAATATTTTCTGTTGTATTCAATGGTAATGAGGAAATAATCGAACGACTATCCATACCACTGCTCGCTCGACCAGGGGAATCCTGTGTGCCTTCTAGGACTTGATTTGTATACGAAATGCCGTCGATGCCAGCTGCACTCGGATCCACTTTTTCCCTTGGTGTCAAGCTTACAAAATCCTCATTTTGAGAGGCTGTATATATTAGCGATCTGGCATTGAGAAAAGTAAATTATGGACAGTTTAATGTGTTTATTGTGAAAAGTCGAAGCCTATATTGGAATTAGAACACCTCACAAATAATGCCTACAGAATCACAGTTAAAGGTAAATGATTGCGTCAGAACAGCTGACCCGGCCAAAATGCCACAAATAAGGTTGCTGAAGAACCTTCGACAGACTACAACATGCCCCCCCATTGAGGGTCCCCGAGTTTCAACACGTTTAGTTAAATAAGAACATCACAAATGACAACCTTGGCAGAAATCATTTGAGTACTCCACTACATCCTGATCGACGTGTAAATTGGTGCTTTTAGCGAATTGAACTGATTACAGGATGAATTTTCCGTTGTGAATTTCCAAATCTTATGACACTACCAACACCCTAAAAGTAGCTCAGAAGTTTCTAAGAACTAACCACCAGGGGCTGAACGGTTTTGTTTTCAAACTACTGGCCTTGAAAGTCCTGGTTCGAAACTTCCTGTTGCTTCGTGATATGCACACTACTGATAATTCCCAACAGGAATAAAACAACCCCTCGGAATGACTCGGATTAACTTGCTGGACGAAACCACCACGGGAAATTCGAAGTCTTTTCATACAACCAATAACTTATCCATTGTGATTAGCCCACTGATCTTTCACACATTTCGATAGAAAATTTGATTTAGTAGACTTGATCAGTCTTCTCCTTTATCCAATAATTCTAGAGTAAACATAACCTCCAGTGGTTAGCATACAGTAAAAGCACTAGTTTCCAATTTTCACAAGGTGGAATTCAATAGTTTATGAGTACAAATTTTGCGACCATTCTGTATGCAACAAACGCTTCTACTAGCATGAACGTGGTGTTAAATGAGCGGAAACTTAATGCTCATAATCAGAATGCTCAAAACTCTTACATTTTCTGGGGATGATCAGCACTAAGAACTGGCCATAAGCCCATGTACATAATATTAAATACGGTACTACCGGCTACCTGTTGTTTTCAGAGGTCATGTGTCAGGCTCATCGCAAGATTAACCTGGAGAAACGTCATGTAAAGTTTGAGGTCACAAACTAAAGTGAGTCATAAAAAGAGTTTTTTGGTTGTATGCTATTCTTTGGCACTCATCGAAGGAAATCAGCTTCTCCAAGACCTTCGTGTTCGAATAGCTTATGACTAAAAGCTTGTCGATCTGGAGTATGCAACCGACGTCACTCACGCCTTCGAAGAGGAGGAGAAGTCACATGTTTTTTAGATGGACCGACCAAAATCACCCCGTCCTTCGGTATACAATTTGCACCCACAAAGTGTAAGGTCATGCTCCTGGATATGCAGTCACTGAACACGCCAGTTACAATCCAAGGAGAGGTACACAAATTTGTGGAGTGTTTTACGTATCTTGGAAGTTGTGTTTGTTCTGACTGTAATGAGACAGATGAGGTCAATTCACGAATCTGCAAAGCTCGGGTTGGGACACCTCTGACAGAAAAGCTGTATATCTCTGAATCTCAGGGAACGTGTGTATCAGTCTAGAGTGTGGGCTGTTTTGTTGCACAGCTGAGATTTGGCGTGTGCGATTGGCGAATTGAGGCGTCTTCGAGTGTTTGACAACCGTTGTCGTTGTGCGGGTTAAAGTCTGCGAATTTTGTAACGGGGCAGGTAGAAAGCAAGTTTTCGGTCCTGTAACGAGGATTTCCATCGAAGAATGTGTCCAGCACCAGAAGCTGCGTTGGATAAGCCACATATTGCGCATACCGAATCATCGTTTGGCGAAAAGGGTGCTGTTTTCCGTTCCCAGTCCAGAATAGCACAAGCAGAGAAGTGTCCAATCCTTGACTCGACAGAAGGGTAGGTTAGGGATTACGAAATGTGTGGGTGCTACTCGCCTTCCATGATTGAAGCCGCGTGATCCTCACTGCGCCCGGTTGGAGACGCTGCAAGATATGGCTGGTAACCGATGCCAATGCGTTCTTGTTGGTTGTTGATCTGTTCGCCGAGCTTGGCAGCTGGGTTGCAAACGTTTCATCACCAATAGAGGTGAAATCGTCAGTGCAGGGTTGAGTGGGTGGATTCCTTCCTTTCTGCCTGTGATTATATAGCATCTAAACAGTTTCTGGCGGTTCTTAAAGCGGTCTTCACGTAGTTTGATTGGCCTCCTGTGAATCTGACGTGGTCTCAATCTCCTGTGTCTGGTTGGTTCGCTGGGCACATCGAATTCGGCAGTCCTGTGTGTGGTTGTTCTCATGTGATTCGGCCGTTTCCTTCTTGCTTTGCGATGTGAGTTTTGTTCGCTTGACTGGTTGTTTCAGCGGCCTTCTGTTTTTAGTGATTGTCTTCTTTTGGCGTTCTTGTTGTCAAACTCTATCCAGATCGTCTGAATGAGTGTCTGGAGGTGTAGGCTCTTCGAAATAATTGTAGTGATTTAACATTAGGTTCCTCTTCCATCGACTTCTATTTCGTTCTTCAAAATGTCTTTTAAGTAAACTATGGTTGTGCGGCAGCAAAGCATGGGTTTTGAACACTGATATCAACCTGCGATGATGCCATTTCGTTCTTCAAAATGTCTTTTAAGTAAACTATGGTTGTGCGGCAGCAAAGCATGGGTTTTGAACACTGATATCAACCTGTCGATGATGGCAGTGGTGATGCTTTATTTAGGGCTCTCTTTTATCGGAGAATTTCCCGCGTCAGTTGATCTCATCTCAGTCTGTGGTCATCGAAAAGTTAGCTTTCGACGAAACTACAAAGTCCGTTTCCCACAGAGTTTCTAGTGCGTAAACTAGACACTTGGACGTAATTCCCGATATAGTTGAAATCAATCCTTAATTTATGAAGCAGCTCACTTTTGTTTGAATAACCAGCCGATTTATTGGCCCAAGTGTCCTATTTAGTCCATACCAAAGCACCCAAGCGACGGCTTCGAGTTTCATTCCGAAAGCTCGCTAACTGTGATTATCCACTGCCCTACCTAGACTCACAGCCCATGTATCCGATACCCAAAGAGAAAAATTAATTTTTCACTAGCGAAAACTAGGTCCACTTGGATTATTGTATTTGAACGAACGAAAGTAGTTCACAATTAAGAAGCTCACCTGGGGGTACAACTCTTGGAATGGACGAATATATGCACTGATACTTAGCTCTAATAACATGGAAACTCGAGACAAGCAATACATATTTTTGAGGTGGACTAGACGGGTTTATCATTCTGGGACTTAGAAGAGACATTCTGGACGAAACCGACTTAAATGCGAATCTCACTAGTGCTTCCAATAAGCGCGCTTAATGCACATCTGATTGCAACCTTAGTTGCCAAGCTCGTCTAAACGGGTGAATTCAATGTAGAAAGAAACACATTTGCAAATCAAGTTTGTGTTGACGCTGGACTCGACTGAAACTCGCCTGAAACTTTCGATTGTAATATACTTTAGCTGAAGATGCCGCACAATGGCCTTCTGGTGTTTCAGTTGGAGAAACGCAAGAAAAACGCATACGAGAAATTCAGCTATTTTCATTTGGGTCTCCCCGTAATACCAGTTTATCTTGCCAGTGGGTGTTTGTATCCCGATGCGTTTGGTTTATTGTCCCAAATCAAACCAGTAAAAATTCCTAGAATATACATAACCGATAATTTCTCAAAAAAGCCACAACCGTGGTGGGATGTCTGGAGTTTTTATCGCCTTTGTGGGTAGTGCATTGCAAATGTGGAATTTCTATTCATGTGAGTTTCCTTGGGGGTGGGCGTGTGAATCTCATTGTTAAAAAGTGGCTGAGACCCTACCAACAAATGAAATACACTGCCTTCGAAGAAAACCTGACAGAAAATTTTGATCATGACCATTGTTTTATCTGACGACTAACCGGCCGATTCGTGAACGAATTTAGGTCTTAACTTCATCTACTCGGGCCGTCAATCTGCATCTCGGAGTGTTACGAATTTTATCTGAAGGAAAATTACTCTTTGTTCTTGTGGAAACGTTGACACCATCATCTGTGGAATATATGCTTGACAAGCGTGCATTTAATGGATCCAGTTTACTTGGTACACGTACATGAGGATCAGGGTATCTTATTTCCCACTTAACTGTGTTTCCAAACACGATTGATGTATGCAATGAAGGCAGGATATATGTACATATTTTTGAAAACAGGTTGAAATATACTAGCAACAAAACCTCCTAAATCCCAACACAACGAAATTTTTCAGAATCAAGAATGAAGAAAGTTTGCACAGTCCACACAAATCTCCATTCTTTGGGTGATCTGGGAGAATTTACTTACTTTGGTTTGGAACGTAACTCTTCTGTATTCATGTAGGGAGTGGGGGAGGTTGTGGCTATGCTCAATCTCTCGAATTCCTTGTTAAAAGTTCCGACTGAAGAACCTAATCTTTCCATCAAAGTCGGCACTGGAGAAGGGAGGAGAACACTATTATTATCGGTCACCAGAAGTTCTGAATGCTCTCAATTTGTGTAGAAAAAATTACAAGTAGACAGAATATAGTCATTTAATCTGACATTTATTTAAAAAAGCTATTACTTCAGAATATAATAGAATTCCAACCTATAGTGGTACACGTTCAAAGCGGGATGTACTGAACATTGACTGACCAGGTTGACATCATAGTTGGTTAACAAGGGGGTAACCAACTTTAACCTTGCTTTTGTAGCTATTATCTGCTACTTACAAGAAAACATCGTTTTAAAATAAAATGACGGATGATGATTTTTTTTCTAACATGTGTCATCGCATGACTATACGGCAAGACATCTTACTGCCGTCCACTGTGGACTGTATTTGAACAGTCCCATCACAGTGAGTACATTTGCCAGTTGATTGAAGTTATCTCAGCCTGGACTGTTTAACCCCCGTGCAGAGAAAAACCGTCGGCTTAATCTGAGCGACCTGAATGACTGAGGCAAAGTCTACCAGTCTCGGCTAAGGAAGTCTTATCTGTGAGTTGTTCCTAATGAAAACGGCACTACTGCTGAAGAGATTCAAAACTGATAAACAGAAAAGGCAAGTACGCGAGAAGTTCAACATTCCGCAAAAAATCGAAGTCCAGGGATGAATTAGGTCTTGTTTCAGTTCAGAACCTACATTATTTACACCAAAGGATAAAAGATCTTGTGTAGACGTAATAAACTACTCATAGGGTTGTTTAAAACTCTATCCTCTCCGACATCCAGTTTCGCGGTCCCTACTCTATTACACTCTTTGCTGTTGTCGAAGACAAAATCGGACAAATTAGAGAGAGAACATCCCTACCGAAACCCACTGGTTGTTGCGAAACATTTAGTGTAGCTCAATGTGAACCCTGACGCGGCCAGAATTATGGAACTAAGTGACATAAAGTGTACTCCCAATTTGTGGGAGATTTCCACATCTGCCATAAGTGCATAGAAGAGGCAACCTGTCAAAGAAGTCGAAAGATATTTTGGAGTCAAGGGTAACTGCCTTGTTTGGTGAGCTGTGTATGTGACATCACTTAAACACCTGACGTAATCTGGAAACGTGATCTATGTGCTCTCCCACATGGTCGAAGTTCTACTTGGTGCTGGCTTCTTGCCTCATGAGGTCAGATGTTACTTAAGCTAATATCAACTTGAATGAGGCTCATAACGTTATGGTTGGACCAGTCGACGCACCTTCTTCTTGCATTGACTGACTCCAAGTTGTTGGAAAGAAATCTGGTTCCTAAATCAGATTAGACAATCTGGCTTAGGGAGAACATCGAAGACTCACCAACGACTTTAAACTTTAACCATTCCGCTCAACGACCCAATGGCTCTTCAAGGCAGAAAAGCATTTCAGGAAATAAGGCAGGGTGTAACCCCACAGAATACTGGTCGAGTAGAGCGAGTAGGATAAAACACACGGTTACGTGGGCAGACGGCAAATTAAACTCTCGACCAAAATATTTTGCCCAGAATTCAAGGCGGTGATCCTTTTGCATTAGATTTCCAATACTATTCTCGATGACCTCACTGACAGCTGACCCCGTTTTTGGTATCAGATGAAAAAAATTTCCCGGACAATTATGGCCGCCATAGCTTTCTCTACTTTCACCCGCTTTATTTGTCGATATGCAGACTATGCCTGGCCAAAGTCCAGCATTCCTTCTGAATAAACCATGCTCAAAATTTGAGCATAGGTACACAACCTATTGCATCACTAATCGACGGTGCGTGTGCTCCAATCCGGTGTTTTGAGAAACCCTACATAAAGACGAGTTCAATGACGTATGCAGAGCGGTACTTGTCTCAACTACGAATGACGTCTCTCCTAATGATACAGCTTTTAAATCTTCTCATAGGCCATTTTGAAGAGATTGCTCCCTTTGTGCGTCAGACGGATTTTTGATGGCTAGGGGAGAGCAAGGTCTAAACAAAGGGGACGGTCCAGAAAGACCGACAATCAAGAACAGAGCCTCACAACCGAGTCTTGCCCTGTTTTCTCATAATAAGCCGACCACGGGTTGCGCAGCGACTTCTAGTGCGCCGTTATATCCAATACTGAATTTCTGCTTCCTACTGAGGAACCACTGATGGTCAGTGCGGAGTTGCAAAAGACCATCATTAGTATCCTGAATTTAAGATGAACAAACAACCAAATCCCTAACTGTGTACTGAGATCGATGGCGGCTGGGACAACATCTCGTGCCAGGCGTAACATTAGTTAGCTCCAGATAAAAACGCCTTCTCTCGATTCAGAACTGGTCGGTTGATGAGTATGAAGATGCCAAAAATGAAGAAGGAATATTATTTTGGCCGGTGCGGCTGCTTATGAGGGACGACAAACAAATAGCGCGGGAATCCAGTGGATTAAGAAAGCCTCAGATCTGACGCTGGGCTCTATACCAACGCCAAAGTAACACGCCTCAGTAGAATCAGAATCACCTGAAGGCGACGTCTGGATTACGAAGGTGCCATAAGGTCGATCACCTCATTTTGATATTGTGTCCCAGTTTCAAAAGCACAGTAAATATCTGCCAGTAAAGTCGCGCTATCAAGCTAATTATTGGTCGAGTTCACATAAGACATATTCTAGAAGTTGCGATAAAGACAGGCGAACGAGGCCTGAGCGAATCTGGAAACGTGGAACCAATACTGGCCAACTGGTGAGCCGAGGTAGTAAGGGTTACAATGAGCGCGTCCGGATTTGTTATTAAGACTTGTAAGACATTGATTAGGAGTTTGACCGGGACGCACAAAGCGAGGAAACGCTGCTGATGGCAAATGTGAAGTCATTGACGTTGCGTCAGTGCGCAGTCCGTCCGAAAGCCTGAAAGACCGAAAAATGGAAGTTTAAAGAAATATCTCGAATCCTACTGCCTGTTCAGGACAGAATGCAGTTAGGTTGTTCGGTTACACCTCGATACAAATCGTATTTTTATTTGAGTGGCTCGGAGTGGTGAAAAGCACTAGTGGTCCTTATTCAACCGTGAAAAACGGAGGAGCCACACCTGTTTACTCTCCAGTTTTCGCATCAGGTTTGCCGCTATTCATGCCACATTTACGAGCATTGTTTGCCCTGTCACGACTGAGAGTGGTATTCGTTCCACAGATTCTGTGTGTTCATTCAACCTTACACTACGGAAGCATATTGGAGCGACTGCCGGTTTGACATAAGCTAGATACTACTGAGGGTCACACTGCTGGCAACCGACCCCAAACCAAATGACGAGGGATCTGGAAACGAAGGATTTTCGTTGAGGTTCCAAGTTTCTGAACCAGATGGCACAACAGCTGGCTTGCCGATCGCCTGGCAGGATATCACGCACAGGTTGGCTATATGGAACGATATCGGTGCTGGTCGTCCCATGAATTCGTACCAGGTTCTCCGTACGTCCAGTCGGCCGCAAAAAAGCACGGGATATAGGTGGTGGTGAAAGCCACTTCTGGAACTTTTAGAATTACTGAACAGTAGTCTTCTGGTCTCCTCGGTTTGTGTCTAATTTTGGCCTCTACCGGGATATGTGTTTCCTCAGAAGCAATGATCCTATGATATGCTGTAATCCTGTTTTAGCCCAACCAGCAAACTAGCAGAAACATGAGCTAAGTAATGAACAGAGCAAGGAAAAATGATTGGTCAATTCAACTTCTGCATAGGTGCGGTGGGTTGGCCCGTTGTTCGAATGCTAATAGCTTCAAACGGTCAAAAGTTCACGTGGCCACTTTTGGCTCAGCTCACCTGATGAACCCAACTGAAAACGAAAGACACTGTGTGCTAAAGCGCCTCATTCTAAATTGTCACCATTAGACCTAAACTTGAAGAAAACTTCGCGTCTTGACAAAATGCCTGTGCAAAGTAATGATGGATTACTCGGAAGAAACAGAATAAAATATGTATCAAAAATCCAGACTAACCCAAAAAAGGAACCGAACTTCGCATGTTTTCTGCTAGAAGAGACTGGCTAGCTCCCCATTCCGTAGTTAGATCGCTGTCAAAAGATGCGCTGTTGAAACTGTTGAACCAGCGATGAGTTTCATTTGAAATCTGTTCCACTACACCATTGTAGTTTTCCACATCACTTGGAGTTGTTGTTCTCGGAGAGTTTGACTCATGACCTGATGAAACTTCAACCGGTGAAAACTCCTCATAAACGCGTGGATGCGAGTTTTTATGGGTACTGGACTTTCCTGTTTGCGTGGCTTTCGCGGTAGCTTTATATGATGCAGCTTGAAGTCTATTTATCAATGTACGTCGTTTAGGAGATTGGAAGTCTTCTTTTAGTGCCCGTGCAGAAACTTGTCTATCAACATTTGTCCCATTCTGACGTGTGACTTTGGAATTTTGTACTTCCTCTGCTGAACATGAAGCGTAAACCGACAATAAATAGCTGAAGAAAGCATGACTTTGTTGGTAGATATCTAACAGTCAGACAAAAAGCGATATAAAACGTGATACGCGCTGTCTCGCCAGCTACAGCACCAGTAATCCAAGCCTAAATTGCCGGAAGTGACTAAGATCGCGAAACAGTTTGTCAATAGAAGCCAACTGATCGAGGTCGTACGAAATTGGCCACAGTTCTAGTAAACCCAGGGCACCACACACTAATCCTGAACGGACCACTGACTATAATTAGCCAACAAGTCATTTTATAAAAATCCATATTTTCCTGTACTATTTTGTGCCCAGTTTCAGAGGAACATTGTCTTCATTTTAAAGCTATCTTTCGATTAGGTCACACCTAGGTAAACATGCGCCAAAGGACAAAAGATGCTCAATATCTGCCAATAGCTTAATTGCATTTTCTCTTTGCTATAGGACGCGATAGACGAGTGAACACCGGATTTCAGCCAATCATTTTAGCATGCTCAAAACCATTGATTTTATGACTTATATCATATCTGTGAACTAGGGTTTCTGAAAGGCATCCAAAGAATTCCGCAGTCATGTTGTTATTCAACTAAATTACTCAACTGGCATATAAATCTTACTCATTAAAAAACAAAATGGCTTGTTGCAGCAGACTCACATCCGGAAATGCTAACGTTTGAGATACTCCCATGAGAACGGATGGAGTACAAACAAAATCAAACGCTCACGAGTCCTCAACAAACATCCTCACCGAGAAATTAAAGTAAATAAAATTGTTCAACTGTAACACTTTTTCGGTGCCTACCTGCCATGCTACCTGAAGGAAGCACGAGTGCTGGGATACTGCCAGGTTGCCCAAGCCTAGACAAGGGTGATAAATTAAAGCATACGATGTCAAAAACGGGATTTAGCAAATCTGGATCTAACAGACGTCTCCAGCCCACCGTTAAACTTAACAGTGGAATTACAACCAGTGTCCACTTTTTGATGGGTCATCAGGGACAGGGCTTCGAAAGAAAGGGGACAGTATGAGAAACAACGAATCTGAAACCTACGTTACGTACTGCTATCAGAAATTTCAACAATTGACTGCGTGTTCTTCCATGCGTAGATAATGCACATTTGATCACCAGTTTCTCAGACGTTTACTCATTTCTTTATCACCCCTTCGTATGACCATTACCTTCATTCTGCCTTCATTCCTGTATCTTGTAATTCCATGGTAGATTGCATACGCCTTAGCCGAGAACCCATCCTACGCGCGTCTTCCGAATGAATTTCAACATCTGTCTGATATTTTACCTTAAGTGACCGGGGTCTTTTGCGACATTAACATGCCAGACAACCATGAATTTTTAAATTTGAAGTACTACAACTAGGTCTACTTAAAATACGTTTCAGTGCTCGTGCTTTCTCCTCACGCTGATTAACCGAACTTTACCTTCAAATCAAAGCTGGATACAGAACTCTTATGGTATGAAGCAAATTATAGCTGTCACTTTCATCGGTCTTGAATACCATTTTTCCCTATTCCGCTTGGTATAACTGCTGTTCAAACAAGCTGATGGGCTGATATTTCAGTATTTTATATCTGTCATAAAAGGTACCTCTGTGGTAAGGGGTTTTCAGTGAGCCAGTACTCGAGAGAGACAACCCGAGCACAAGCCCCTTGAGGGCTGACATTCTAACTGAGGCCTTTTGAGGTCTATCGATTTCGCTAGAGGATGGCACCCATCTAGATCATCGGGCTCAGTTAATTTTATTACTCAATGATTTACCGAATCCCATTGTTATGCTCATAAAACAGCCGAATGAATTGCGCTTTACACGGTATTTCTTGTGTATTTTGCTACGAAATGACATTAATATGGATATCACTGCTCGGCAGAATGACGCAAAACCTGGAAGGGGACCACCGACAAAAGCGCAAGATGGACGTGCTTCAAGGGGTGGTCTGAAAGCACAAGTTGTCTAGCATGTCCGACCTGTATTGAGCCACCTTAATAATGTCAAGGACCACCCACATCTGTTTACCAGTGGTGAATGTTTTATGCTTATTTTTGTTGCTAATAATGGACCTAGCTCCAGCCACGAGCAGCGATTCATCGGTCTTTCTTTACATTCCCTATCAGTACTACCTGCTCAGGTGTTTCAACTCTTGCAAAGAACTACCGGCGCAGTTGGAAATTCAGTAGTACCTACCTGAAAAAGGCCGCCATAAATCGCTTCCTAACACAGCATCATTCATTCTGTTCTAGCACGTGAAACTCTAAATTAGATTGGTTTTATCCAGTATGGAATGCAGGTTTTCCGTGTGGGATAAAAAATTACTTGCATTATGCCGTTTTATGCCAAAGGGATTCCTCACCAATAAATATCTCTTTCATGTAGATTAAAATGCCATTATTAGTAATGCAATTTCTTCTGAGTATTAAACTTGTGTTAACAAATTCCAGAGATAAGCCTAAATAGATTTAGGGTGCAAAATGTGTCGGAAAATTTGTTCTTGAGAAACAGATGACTGACTGAATAAAATGAAATGAAAACTAAATGAAATCTAACCTTGGACCACCTCTGCGTCCTCGCTAAAAGCATTCGCACATAGCTGTAGAATCTCTCCCGTCAACTGTGCGTCCTCACCGATCCAGACCTGAGATAAGAAACGTATTTTCTTCTTGACTAAGAATAATTTCAAAAAAATTTAATCGCAGCTTGTTATAATATTAATCCTACTGATCTATGGTACATGGTGAAATGGGTTCACCATGACCATCTTTTGACTATAAGCAACCCGACTCACCCTTCCAAGTAGCAGGAAAGTGTCCCCAATACAATAATTTTTGGAATTCCAGTTCTCACTTCCATAATGTAATCATATTCGGTAAAAGCATTTCTGTTCAAACAAACTCAGTAGATACAGGAGTATAATTTCTTGTCCACACTGTTTTGAAGTTGTGATGTTTAAGTTTTACGACAAACGCAAACAAACCACGTCAAATTTCTGCAACATTCTCGCTTTAAATCACCCGGTAATCTGTGTAAATATGTACTAAACCAAGTATGTGTAAATATTGTCGCAGTTAGGAGGTAAAACCGATCACCTCCCCGGTACAGTGAATAACAGTAGTCCACCTGAGGAACACACGCAGCAATAGGCTTGAAAGTTGTTCACTTTGAACGAGAAACAGCCTAAATGATTGCTCTGTTTCTTGTGGCATTTGTTGAAAAATTTTCCACGTCAGCAAATGAACCCTAGTATGACTCTTGCAAATTTTTGAACCCGATATGCATGATAGATTACAAACTCTACACCAAGACAAGTCTGCCTTCTTTAGCATCCTTTTGGTGATCTTCAGCTTTCTCTAGTAGCTCATCGGAATTGAAATGTTCGTCAATCACGACATGCACACTGAGAACCAATGGTTGTGTTCTGTTTCAGAATTGGGCATATCAAAACAGTTTCTTAATTGGTTCTGAACTTTGTTTCTCTCAAGAAGTCTGCTGGGTCTAGTCATTTTATCAAAGAAATGTTTAAAGGACACAGTGATATCAAATGACTGACCTGTTGAAGAATGTATAAAAAATGATGATTTGCAAATCTGACCAAAAGTAGGTTTCGAGTTAGAGCTGTATTTCACCAAATAAATAATCTGTGGCAGAATTTGTTTCGGACAGTGCATTACTACGGATAAATGACACTTGCTTCTATTGACCACGGGCAGTGACATATGTACGGAGGTAGAGAGGACAGCTAAACATTATTGGGCTAGACAGGATTTGTATTACATCTGTCCAGTCTCATTTTATAATGGTGCCGACAAAGCTATTCCAACAAAAAATTCCTCATCCATGCTTTTTCATTATCTACACCCATAGGCAGCGTATTCATATCGTTGAAACACCTTGTTCCTTTTATTCTTAACTAGAATTAGGGAAGGTAACTGTCTGCCGATGAGATTGAAATACGATTATTTGCACGATAACACGCCATTCCTGAGTGTGCTGAAAACTGTTCGATAGCTTACGACTGGTTTTTCCTTCTTAAGACCCAGCAAGTAGGTCAGCTTTCGTCAGACGTATGTTTTACTTGAACCAAAATTACAGGAAGTTCCCGAAATACATGAAATTGTGCAATGACCTCATCTAAACAAAACCCCAACTGAAACGGGAGATTCGGCTTAGCCTTACTTACCTCCCGTAAAAATCTAACTGGTGCGCAGATAAGTGTATTCTGCGAATTTTGTGAAATTTAATTTTGCGAACAGAGTTTGAGGTTGGCGGAGACTCGAGGACTTCCCCTACCTTGTGAGTGTGAAGAAGGGCAAAACTGATTTTGGACTATCGAATAGTTTTCGGCAAATTTACGTGTACTCCTGCATGAAAACATATATTGCATATCTCGAACCTACCTTGTGAGTGTGAAGAAGGGCAAAACTGATTTTGGACTATCGAATAGTTTTCGGCAAATTTACGTGTACTCCTGCATGAAAACATATATTGCGATATCTCGAATATTGTTTCAACTGAAACGGCGACTTTTGTGCAGGACACTCAGTTGAACAATACATACGATAAATGAGACCTTTGTCTGGGATTCATTGAGTTCCTCATTAGTACCAAATTAATGCAGGAACAGTGTTTGCTCTTTTTGATAGTCTCACGCCACTTCAGTACCCTTCAATCCTGGATGTGCGCGCTTGAACGCAGTCAGCTCAGGACTGTACTGATAGGGACGTCTGTGGACGAAACACTTGGAATAACAATACCCATCTGTTGAAGTTTTAAGTCAATCATCGACTGAAAGTTACCAGTTATTATTTCTTTTTCAGCCGCCTTCATAAAGCTGAGACATGAGGGAGTTTACGGATTATGCCGAACGAACTAAAACCTGACCAAAAACCTAAATGCAAGAAGTAGCTCCTATGTCGCAGCTCATTTCAGTGAGCATGCTTGTGCCATCAGTTTGAGCCTTTCCAGTACCAAATTGTAACTCACTGATACCTAGTATTTCCTCTTTTTGGTTTGGTTAGGACGCCATCTTTTCTCTCAGTAAAAAGAGTTCCTTTTTCGAAAAGTTTTGTCAAGGTAACCTTTCAGTAGCTTCACAGTGTATTTACTTCCATTTCAATGGTAGGTGAACACTGATGATTGGGTAGCTTAGTCATGCATCAACCTTCTACCGTGAAAGCCAAATTTCACATCGTAGTAGAGCCATCAAAACCAATGACATGACATGACGCCGTAACATGTCTTGGCAGCCATGTCACAATGAACCATTTGAATCTCCATCAACGTAGTGAGTGGTTAGGGACAACTGGATGAATAGTTTACCCTATCTTGGAGATTATACCACTTTCAGCCAGTTTTATACCCCCTCGATCCATGGCGTTCCAAATATTTTGGCTACTTTCACACTAACGGCACTAAATAGCACCGCAAGTTACTGTTAGTTCTACCATGTTGTGATTATTCATTTCTATATTTCAAGACCGATGACTATACTGAGACGTTCCTAACCTTACAACCTCACGGCGTCGTTGCAAGCCGCTCATCATTGAGAACAACGCCGCAAATAATCACTTGGGCTCATTTTGTCTGTTAGGAACGTAAAGCGTACGAATGACCTGTTATGAACGGAAAACGCACAAATGACCTGTGTGAACCAAGCCTTGACTGGCCGTAGGCGAAAACTTCCAAAACTTTAGCTCATGGTTCAAAATCACTTAAGAATGATTTGTGGCCAACATAGTGAATTTAGAGGTTGTACTCGTAATGCTTGGGGGATCAACCTTCTTTATACAGTGTCCGTGTTTGACCGGAAGTAGTCTTACCGTTCTCTCTGGAGATGTTCACCACTGAGGGAAGGCCACAGGGTTTCAGCGGTAATGAGCTTAAGAATCAAAAGTTGTTCCGTCTAAAAGAGAACCCGCTGCTGAGAGGTTCACTGTTCAGAAGGGCTACTGTACAAAGGTTTGACATTATTTTCCAAAGTGCGCAGTCGTGCACAATGTTGGGATTTGTCATTATATATATATATATGTATATATATATATATGGTGTGTGTATATGGGGTGTGTGAAGGGGGGCTGGCTTCCGCTTTCGGACTGACCGTCACATCGAACAAAGCATATTGACCCCGCGCACAATGAGCAATGCAGCACACCATTTGAGCTGGGTCAAATGTGCAGTCAGCTGAACGCACTGCATCCGATGTAAACCAGACGGTGAATTATGGGGGTATTTACACCCCTAGCATGCCCATCTGATAGCTCATAGTTGTCAAATGAATTTGGGGCAACTGGACACTTGAAACCCACAGTCAGTGCACCTCTTGTGGGACACCTTACAAATATACCTGGCACCCATCATTCAGTTTGGTGGGTACGACAATAGTCACAGAGAGTCCCCTCTAGCACTCACACACTCTGGAGCTTCTACAGTGTTCGGGCGGGTATTAACACATGACTTTAAGATAAAGAAAAAAGATGAATTTCGTCACACCAGAAACCATAAAGCATATCGCACCAGCAGGCCATAAATCACAACACGGGGCATTAAAGCTAAATAAATTGCAATGCCTACGAGACATATGTGGAGAAGCAGTGGAAAAGAACGGATTACCTGGCGACTCAAGCAAAGGATTTACTCAACAATCCACATCAGAAAGGTATTTCGGTACCTGAAAAGATGCAACAATTAGTGAATCGAAGGAGACCAAATTGTATTCCTCATGCAAGTGAGCTAGGTAGCGAGGAAGCCCTGTCTGGCGGGCCAACCAACGGACACAACCAAGGTACCGTACTGGATCCTCGCTTGACACGGGCTTTCCGTACACATCACTCAAACGCGAACCTGTTCAGACGTAAAAATTCGGATACGTCCAGTGTTCACTTGTGGGCTATTGGTAACGTTCTCACCTTGCATGTCAGATGGGTGCATTTCGAACCTCGGCACGGTCAAGGATACGCACTGCTGATGAGCACTAATAAGGGCGAAGTTCGAGCCCAGTGCTTTCCTTCTTTGGCATGGACTCATCAAAATGATTGCAGCAGGCCAGGAGGACGATTGTTCAGAGGAAAATCATGTGATTGTGTATTTTACAAAATCCTGCTATCACCAACACCTGAAATTGATTTAAGTGCATGATTCTGGGAGGTAGGGATCAAGTCCCCTGGGAATCGGTCCACTAAGTCCCATTTAACGTTAAGTAGTACCTACACTTTAGTTTCTCTTTCAAGACAAATGGCTGGAGATTTTGTAGACGGGATACTAGCATAAAGCGAGATTAACTGCAAAATCAGTCATAATTAGGTGTACTGTTACTGTCATTCCGCGATTTTTCGCAGACCTTTTGCTCCGTTAGGCAAGTGGATATCCTCCGTGATTTCCCTAGCTTTTCGTACTATGAGGTGGTGACACAGTTCTCAAGATGTTTTAGAGCTTACTTACCGGTCCATTTTGCTGATGCTGTACGACGGAAACCAGATTGCGGATCCAGTCCACCTCCGAAAAGTATAGACCACGCACGTTTTCTGTGTTTACCGGAACACTGTCACTGATGAGGTGGGCTCTGTATTTCTTCAATGCCAGAACTTCAGCCCAGAGTCGTTCTGAGAGTAACAGTACATCACTTCTCTTTTTTACCAACAAATCTGGATATTGGAGAGCTGCTGAACACTTGTCCATTTCCCAGTAGTGCTGCAATACCATAGTCAGTTGCTTTTTGGAAGAAGGAGTTATTAAGATCACAATTGGTGGGATCCCAAGAAATGTCAGCCGCTGAATGGCACTCATGTTAATGTCCAGCAAGCAGTGTGCTCCATTCTCCATTATCATCTAAGGAACAAGTGAAAATGCACCTTTTATATATGTTGGAAATGTCTCACTTTGACGGCACTCAGACGGATTAGTCCAGTTGGAAACCCTTCCGGTCCTGTTTGACCTATGTGTGCGTTGACTGGTGGTACTTCAAACCTAATGGAAGTTTCTTTCTCCTCTGGTTCCATAGAATCAGTGAGGCCTTGAAGTCGTTTTCTTGCCAGAAAAGACAAGGGCCCATATATAACCACAGGTCGCGGAAGCGGATAGCCATCAATTAGGATTACCTTTTCATATGGAGTTGGCTCTCGTACAGATGATGTGGCAGTCTGTACCTCCTGAAGACAGAAGACAAAGTCCGGTCAGTTAACCTTGATTGCTTCGAAGAATAAGCTACGCAATATAATTTTTCGAATAAATGTTCTTTGTCCCAACACCTGTAAAACACCAGAGCTTACCAATAGGCCCTTGGCTCTTTGCATGTTTGGTATTAGTCCGGTAACGCTAACAGAAGGATATATTTTATATGCCTGAAAGGCAGAAAAAGACAATCATTGCAATAGCATTCCAAAGTATTCCACTACCTAATATTTCTTGTGAGGATCAAACCAGAGCACACCTATCAGATGTTTTTAGTAAACCTCTTAAATGTAGTTATAGGAGAGTTCATCGTACGCATGTGGTTTCTACTGGTTTCCGTTTTCAGTACATGGAAGTATATAATGATCTTTTACGTTAAATGCACGAGGAGGAAATGCGACACCTTCGTTAAAAAGATATAATTTCATTGTAATGACAAATGCGTGCGACTTGCTATATGAAAAGGCATGATGTTCCTTTGGGTAAACAAGATAAACCCATATGACCACCATTCCAAACGATGTGTCATACAAGTCATGTTGTTGCGAGTCCCCGTGAGTTTCGTTTATAACAAATAGATTGGAAGTAACATTTTAGTTTCGGTAAAGAGGGACAAAAATATACCTCTATAGGGAACACATTGCTGAACGTAGTCCATTAGGTCTCCATTGAAGAGGACGTCGTCGATTATATTTGTCAAAGTCTATACGTTCTGACCGTCCGTCTACCCTAGTGCCTGAGGTGGTTTACCAAACCTTATTGCCACTGCAAAGGAAACATTGGCCTGTACGCGAGATTCAATCTTGCCATGCAAAAACATGCACCTCCCAAACAATAAAACATTTTTTTTATTTTTCAGAAGACTTGGAGCTATAGGTTATTGAAAGCCGGGGGACTTAGAATTGAACTTCTGGCAGTCTACGTAGTATCTGAGGAAAGTAACAAGTATAGGAAGGGCGACAGCACGACGAACCGTTTCTTCACTCAACTTATGAACTCCTTGAAAACCACAGACGGCGTATGAGTTTACTGAACCAAGATGTCTTCAGTTTAACTACACTTGTCCCGCATGTTCCCTAAGTGACGTACGTGCTGATTAGGATGACCAACACACACGAATCCCATAGCAGACCACATACCTAGCAGATCGATTGTTCGCCTCTACGTATTAGCATGAAAGGAATAACAATGCGATGACAAGGTCTTTGGGGGTGAAACAACGTAACATATGTTGTCGGAGTGTTTGCGGTGACTCGGTCGGCCATACCGTTGGCATTAATTTGCATAACATTTATATTTTCAGTATCACTAGGGTCGACTTTGCGCGTAGAAGATGCAAATTATTTTGTCCCAGTTAGCTGAATATTTGGATATGCGCGAATTCGGCACATGGTTGATCAAGACTGATAAGCTAATTTACTCAAGTATGAACCTTTAGCAACGAGTCAGATAAATAGAGCAATGTGACTGCCATCTCAAAAACCTGGAAACTTCTATGGACTCATTCATCGGCAATTTGTTTTCATGTTTTTTAGAGCAGCGGATGGGAAATGGCCGCAAACGGCTGGGAAGTATATCAGTATATCAGCTGTTCCCTGTGATCCACTTCTCCAGTGAGCGCGAAAAGCGTTGTCACAACCTCTCACCTGCCAGTTTCCAAATACTCCTCCCGGAAACGTGTCCAGAACTTGAAATATATCACCCTCAGTTATAGCCAGTTCAGTTAGCCCTTTGGTGTTCTGTGTGTAACCATCCGGTTTGAGGTTGAAATAGGTACGGACGGAAAAGAAATCCGTGGATTGGTTTGACTGCAGAACTTGACTGAATGCCGCAGGATCGTGCTTTAGGCTCAGCACAATGGGAGCATCGTCTGCTATCAGTGCCAGAGCGACTTCCTCTTTGGTCCAGCCATCAAGTTCCAGTTCATTGATCTGGATGTAGTAGGAGCAGCGAGTGAAGCACAACTTAATGATTTTACTAAAATGAGTCTGCAAAATTATTAATGAATTCTTTCTCGTCGGTAGATACCTCACATGCAAGCTCACCTAAGGCTTCTCTCTATAACCAAACCACTCAGTGCGAAGTGCGAACAGTCAAAAGACAAACTACCGATTAATGGCATTATTTTTTGTGACAAACTTGAGAGGCAGGTTGTAGTTTGTAAACTCAAAATGGATATGAATTTGCCACTGAATGGTGTACCAATGATTTCATGCCGTTCTCTTATAAAATGCTGTCATCTAACCCTGAACTACTCCACTATTTTGTTGGGAACACTTGTAGTGTATACTAGGTTGCGCCCTTGACAAACGAAGCCAAAATTATGGCACATCCTTCAGTAATTCTGCACCTGGTGAGCGAAATGTCCCATGCCTCTCGGTTTTTCACCAAAATACAGCAAGTTGTAAATCAAATGAGTTGCTACGCAACATATTACTTAAAAAAATCACCATGTTTGAATGATAGGTGGATCTGATGTATATAGCAATGCATTGGTAGGATATGCCTGAGTTCTTGCCGCCACAGTCTGTCATCTCAGTCAAACGAATAATTTATGTGACAACCTACTATAAAAATATTGATAAACGAGGGATACCAGTGGGAAGTTTAGTGGTAGGGATGTAAGTTTGATGAGACTCATAAGGAAATGTGGTGGAAATTTCTGGATAAGAGCATCTAGGAAAAGGTAACAGTGGATGATTCAGTCGACTGTGCGACGCTTTGCCCTTGTTAGCAGATTAGCTGGATCAAGGAAACTGGTTTTTCATTACCATTTCAGACTATATCCTTGTGGACAATACACTCACCCTCATCAGGATGTATGCGTTTCAAACGAACAAGTAGAATGACGGAATTTTACCCACAAAAAGCAGGCATGGATTTGCTTATATAACGCCACTACCAAGGCTTGCTCAAAGTTACAACAGCGAACAATACATAAAAAGCAAGCAAAATGGTGCTAGTGTAACTGCCAAAGTTTCACCTAACAATCAACTGTTTACAGCTTATGAATCCTAAGGGTATGAATCTTGTACTCTGATTTCGCCCTGGGTGGATATGGTGGATTTGTTGTGTTACGGTTAACAGTTTTGAACATTATTTTACTGCTCATCTCGGTATCCAGCATTTTCGGATACTGTTTGATCCGAAGCACCTTGGACACAAATATAATTTGGACGCTCTATAGAAGTGTACTTTTCACTGTGGAAGCCGCGAGCTCTATGGATTTTTTTCCGTTCATGAGGGAAGATATAGTGGCTAGTCGTTTTTTATCCACAGGGTAAACAACCTGCAGTACACTTTAAGTAATCGAGTGGATTCTGCATAGAAACTGCGTCCGCGGAACAAATTCATATTCGGTTGACCAGCGAAATTATCCGAAAATTATTGCGTACGGTTTCGAAAAACTGAGGACACACCCACTGGAATAACGACTACTACGGAAGGTACCTTTTAACGAGAGTCATACTCGTAATATATGAGGTCAACACATTTTCCACTCGATTGCGGTAATCTTTCTCTATTTGACAGCATTTTATTTTTCATCCTCAGCCCTCCAATGATGCATAATGAATGAATGCTGCTCAGAGCAAAAGAATTTGAACAAAAACCGCGTGTGTGGTTTGCGCGATTAGACAAGAACAGCATATTGCGGCTGTCTCCCCCGAGATCCGGTTGTGAACAGATCGAAATAAAAGACGACTCGTGTCTGCACAAGTGAAGGGTGGGGTGCCATTCTCAAACAAAGTACGAATTGGTGGTTGGACAAATGTCCAGCGTTGCCGATATGCATAAAACATGTTACCGCAAAAACTGTCAAGTGACTCATTTTCCTGAGGTCACGACCACATGGAAGCTCAGGTCATTTAGTAATGAATTAACTACGGGTTTGTTGGTGGTCCATGCTGCTTAAAAAAAGCGACCCGTGACGGCTAAAAAGTCTAGGTAATCAATGAATAAATTCGTATTTTTGTGCTAACCAGTAAGTCGTGTCTGTAAGACATTCTCATATTCTCTACATTAAAATGTTGAACCATCTGTTAGTGAATGAGTTTATTTCCCCACACAAAATATGCAATTTATTTGGAGTTCCGTCCTATTTCCAAGACCACAGTGGTCGCTCTTCAACCATGGCACTACAAACATGAAAAACCAGGACATCAGTAAAGATACATTTAGCATCTATTCAAAAAGTATAAACCTTTGACATCACTGCATAGTGTTCTTCTGAAAAGCAATGGGTGAGTCTCAAAAACAGACAGAATTTTCAATAGATACACTGGCTGTTGCTCTCTATGCTTGAAATCGAACTTTTGCGTACAAACTACGTCAAAATATCAATGAGCCATATCTGTAATACAACCACCTTAGTCTGCTCAAAGAACTCCGGGCCATGCTTCTGTCTTGTCTTCAAGGCATATCCAGTGATGCTAAAGTCCGGTCTGTCAAATTTTTGCTTCAAAATTAGAATGGTTCAGTGTGGTTACGTTGGTTTTATCAGGCAGAATAGACGGATGCATAAGTATGCTAGAGTAAGATATTCCTAACTCATCCTTGTACATGGCCACAAATTCCAACATTTTGTGATCGCTTAAATACAAACTACGCTTCGCTTTTCTCACTAAATTGATGACCTAATAGATGACTGCTGTTCTCATACAATTGTCACTCCTGAGCAGTCTCACAGCACACACCTTAGCCAGAAAAATCAGGACGGTTTATGTCAAGGCCCGTCCACTCTTGAACACTCCTGAACACACAATATTCAGGGGCACTATATAATATTAGTCCGGTAACGTGAATTTGCACATTTTTGTTGAATAGTAGTCTGAATCTCCTGTTATGCTATTCTCCATCCGCATAACAGGATTTGTTCTGCTTCATCAAGGGCTGCTTCTTGAGAGGTCATTGAAAATGACACATTTGGGGAATAAACCTCCTTATGCTTTATTTTTGTACACATTTTGCTGTCATGAGTTGCTGCTGAATAACACCCGCAATGTAAAACTTGAACAGATGCGGTGGTCAAATATACGAAAGATCAATGACATTTCGCCTTTCGACGAACCATTACCCAAAGGTAACGACAAAAAATCCGGCTCTCTGGATTACGGATGGTCATTTGCTTAATATGTTATATGCTGCAAAGGGTGGTTACTAAAATAAATGTCACACCACAATGTTTATTCCGTCCACCATTCGTACGCCTGTCCAGGATTCAATGGTTTTATTCCTGTCACGATTTTGGATCCAACATGCAAGACCGCTCAGAATCCTCCCTAACTAAGCTCTCCTTCTGTCATCTTAGGGAGAAATGGTAAAAGTTCTCTCAGAGACACAGCAAACTTCTCCAGTAAGGGATAATAATCTAGAATGACTGAACTGTTCCCACGTGGAAATAGTTCTGTCTTCATTCCGTTCTGTCATCATTCAATACTTCAGGTGTGCAAACAGTATAGCGTGCTCATGACTGCGCTCCGTTAAAACAACTTCTTAGCCGTACATTCGAGCCTGCGTAGTCCTGACGTTACCCGGACTCCATTATACTACTTTCAATATTCTGCATCAAATTCACCATAGTTGTGATATTCACGCTAAAAGGCTACACTAAAAAAGTGGTCAAACATCATTTCTGCAGCCTCTGTTACACAGTCCATGTCTGAAGCATCCAAAAGTTTTCTGTCCATAGAGATGAAATTTTTACGCCATGGACTGACTTAGCTCTTTGGTTTCCGGTGCTAATAAAAACTCCCCTCAATAATTTCACCACAACAGTGGCACTTGTACCCACTACTTTGAAAACCTCTCCCTTGGATCACATTTCAAGACGTCGGAGTAGGTAATATTTTCAACCAAAAGAGAATAATTATCGATTGCGTAGTAAATGGCTGAACTCGTTGACTCACTGCTCTGATCTGATCCCCCTCACCTATTCCTGATTGGTCAGCAGCTGAATCTGGTTGTACGGTAGCAACAAACACACCGGTTCTGTTTCCACCAACAAGAGCTAGTCCAGTTCCAGTCCTCGGATCCATATGGAATAAAACTTGACGCACGTCTGACTGGGACTTTAGTTTGATCGCTTTTTCCTGGAATTGACGTACGACCGGTCTTTGTTCGTCCGCAGTCATTGTTTCAAATGAAGTGAGGCCATCGCTCGACTCGACCACTGTTTTGGGAGATGCAGTCCAAGACCGATCTTTTGTACAGGTTCGGCATGGATCTTTGCAATATTTATGTTTGTGTCTGTGATAAGCGTCCTGATGTTTCGTCGATTCACGACGATACATAAGTTGACACTCGGAGTCGGAGTGGGATAGCCAATGTGGTTGTAAAACTGAAACCATGAAGAGCAAAGCACAGGTGTTCACTAAAATGGGGGAATAATTGCTTCCTCCGTAAAAATTTTTATCCACATTAATTCAAAATGAATTTAATTTCAGACATGTGTACGCAACAAATCAAATATCCGGAGTTGCTACTAGATGCCTGCGGGACTGATGAAATGTACCGTAATTATTAATTTTGTTTTTCGGCTTATTGTCATACGATCACCTCCTTTACCAGGACAAGTGCATGTTTATTATATTCAGGTGGTAAGGATATAAATGCACATAGCTATCTCTTCAAATGGTGAGATTCCAATTTCGCTAGGCTCCTTGATGCATCTTCAAAAGGAGGACACTTGACAGATCCTTCATAGTGAACTCAGTTCTCCCAATCTGGATACGGCCATGACTGGATCACCTTTTTAATTTCACTTCTATTGCAAATGTCGCATAAATGCACACCAATGAACTCTCTTTTTGCAGTCGTTGGACGCGGTCATCGGTTTGTTTTCCGAGCTTCGTTCCACAGCAGAGCGTGGAAAAATCTTGAGGATCAGAGAAGTATTGTCCAGACTGCGTCAAAAGCATAGCACTGTTTTTTCCCGTTTAGAGAACTACGCCTGGTTGATGGACCCCAAACGGAGTAAAGACAGTCGTGCATCACCAAAAGTCTTCGTATCACAGCACACAAATTACAAGGAACAATACTTAGGCCTTCATACTATTGGCTCAGTCTAAACTTAGGACAGCTTCCCCCAGCGGACACTCAGGTGATAAATGTAATAAACAAGGGTTTCATTCAAGGCGCGCCATTCGAGGGCGTGTTACTAGCTCGAAAGGCGATGAGTGAAAATTCAGTGCCCTCTCGTCCCAATGACTCTATGATATTTTTGATACAACCATACTACTAGCTTCGGATGCCCCATTCCATGAGATCTCAACAAGGGGTCTACCTAAAGTACAACTATCTAATCGATATTCCCGAATCGTTTAGACTTATTCAGTAGTATCACATCTTTACAAGGATTAGTAATCACGACAATCTGTGTGTTGTTGCCTGTGTGACTGTGCATACTACTGATGAAGCACGCAAGTAGAGTCCGGTAGTGACGTCCCTGAATCTGATGAAAGTATGAAAATTATGAAACTGTTGGGCGATATATGTAAAGGAGGGCTGCTACTTATGACTTTTCAAAAAACATGAAAATGGTGTTTTTACTTTCATAAGGTTTAAAATTTGGACTATTTTCCATGACGTAATTTCCACATTCTGCCCGTGGCATTGGTATAGACGAGCAGTCATATCCGAAAAATTCCATAGTTTGCTCGGGTCTTCTAAATAAAACACACCTACTTGATAAATCATTCCACATTGGGCCGGTGGGCTGAGGATTAGAAGCTCGTTATATATCCATGAGGAGCTTGCTGCAGGTAATTCTCAGCACGTTGCAACATTTGTTCTGTGCTTCTTAGAATTTTCTGCTCAAAATGACTTCCATTTCGGGGCGAAGCCTCAATTTAAATCAGAAGTGGTCATATTGAAGATACGCCATTTGATTTCGTCAGATAGAGTAAGTATCTTACTTCTGTAAGTGCTCCCAAAACGATATTCCGAAGTTATCGGAATTTTCCGACTTATTTAGTTTTCCTGACAGCTTAGCCTAGTTAACTCAAAATGTAGCCCAACTTAGTTTTTCGCCTGGCTGAAGAAACACAATCGCTTCTATAGTAGAACCATTCCCATTCGCCATATTTAGTTAACAAACTCCAAAAATGTCCAAAAATGCATGGCTGGAACGTTTTAAATGAGTGTGTCACTTCGACTCACCACCTTGAAGAGACCGCGTCTCCGAACATTTTTGGCACACCTTCTTGTTTCTAGATTGCAAATCATGCAAAGATGAAAATTTGATACCTTCCTTTGGGCGTTCTGCAAGATTTCTATGTTCTGAAAACTGCTGCTTCTTTCGAGGACTGCCGATATACTTTCGATTTGTTAGAATACCAGGTTGGTCCTTGGAATATGTGGTCATGCTGACGTTAGAATCCGCCAGTCCGCTTCTATTCAAGCGCTCTGCCTGTCTTCCACGGGCTACTTCAAGCAAAGTTTCTTGACGTCTCAAAATTTTGGCTGTGTCTACCAGGCTTAAGTGGGCTGTGTTGACACCGTTCAGTGAGATGAGCCGATCGCCATTCCGCAGACCGCATTTGTCACCAAGTCCACCTTCATCAACTGAATTCACAAAAATCCGACTGACCAGCTCGACACCCAAACCTAAAATTCGAATTTTACACAATGCAATTGAAAAAGACAACAAGTTTTAGCTAACACTTATACAAACTCCTAATAACCAGACTTGGGTACCTGTAACCAAGTTTAATTCTTGAGTCCATTTGGAATCGCTCACGCTATTTCTTACCTCGCGGTTTTTTGGTAGAAGAGCTACGGAACGAAGCCATAATAAAACGCTGATATGTCCATTCACCATACATGTAGATGTAAATGTTCAACCCTACAGGGATCAACGAAAGAATAAACTCCGAGTATTCCATGAAAATAAATGAACTACAGGGGTTATGGCCATGGTAGTTGGCCTGCTTAATTATCGGGAATAAGACGTCTTCAGGTGATCAACAACTGTTGTCTCAGAACCATAGCTAGCGTGCAGTGGGTCCGCCAATTCGTAAGGGGCATGTAGAATGCGTGTGTTCGGTCCTGTAATGGAGGTTCTTATCGGAATATGCTGCGTTGGCTGGGTCATTTATTGCCCATGCCGAACCATCGTTTGCCGATGAGAGTGGTATTTTCCGTGCCCAACGCAGAGTGACGGAAGCAGAGAGGTGGCCAATCCTTGGACTGGCAGAGGGATGTGATATGCATTACCAAACGTTTGGGTGCTGTCAGTGCTACTCACATTCCAGGATGCGGACCACGTGATCTCCACTGCTACTACCCGATGTCAGTGGCATTTCTTGTCGTCAGATTCTATCCAAATCGCCCGAATGAGTGTCTGAAGGTGTAGGCACCTCGGAATGATTGTAGTTAATTAGCACCAGTCCCTCCATCGTCCATTTCAGTTCTCTTCTTCACAATAAGGCTTTCAAATAAATCATGGCTGTACGATGGCCAGGCACCAGTGTTGAACAATGTTATGTTGTGGATGAGGATGATGATTCCTGAGAAAAGCGTTTTCAAGCATGGACCATCCTTATCTCAGTCACAAGGAATTCACTGGATTGTTTTCGATGAACCTCTCGCCTTGGCCTAAGCACTAGAGAATGTGCCCTTCAAAAACTTCTGATCTCACTGATGTGCTCTGATAAGTTAAAACTATGGTTTTAGGAGCGAAGGAAGCAGTTTCGTGGAGTAAGTATGAGCTGCTCTTGTCCACATAATGATGGTTATTTGCCGTCTTGGATCAGTTTGCACAAGAAAAACTCAATACACTTGAGTTTCCTAGCAGGCACACTCACCTAGCCACAATCAACTCCCACATCTGATACGTCGTTATGTTACCATCTACAGTAGGGACATCTTTAGATTGGAGGATTCTCAATTCAAAATGTCGCGAGAGTTGGTTGTAAAAGTGTTTCTCAGGTGGATGCTTGCTATAAAGACATGTACTGCGTATACTATACTCTAGGTGCTTTTCAATAACGCCAAGAGTGTATGCGTCTCTACAGGTGTAACGGTGATACTACTGATCAGGGAGGCACGCGAGTAGTATGTGTTCTTCGTAGAATTTCGCTCTGCGTCGATTGAAAAATGGAATTCTGTTGCGGAATTCGTGGGATCATTTTGTAACATTTGCTTGGATTTGAACGACGAATGAGTGTTGGCAATGAATCTCTAGGAAGACTCGTTCGGGAGAAGATCCGTGTACAGTTTTTGTAACTAAGATGCAGATTAGAGTTTTGCTCCCCTGTTCAATGGTCTGTAACCGGTCAGTTGGCATTTTAGAGTGAATAACTCCGCAGCGAAGACCTTATTCCGTCCATTTGGTGCCGTCGCCAGGATAAGGACGAAGATCCCGTGGCCGCAACCCTTTGAGGATGAGGATGTTCGGACCTTCCTGGAGGACTTTGAGGAGGTGGCGGAGGCTGCCGGGCTGGAGACCGACCGGGGTAAGTTGGCCGGGCGAGGGCGGCCCTGGATGCGGCCAGGAGAGGCCCTCGGGAGATGGACTAGCCCGCCGCAAAGGAAGTCCTTGAAGCGGAGTTCGACACGCCGGCCGATCGCCAGGAGGCTATGAGGCGGTTCAAGACGTCCAGGACGGCACCCGGATCGGACCCGACCGTGTTCTTCGCCGGCCTGCAGCAGTTGTTGGATCGCGCTTTGCCGACGCTGGACGGAGTGTCGCGACACCAGTTGCTGTCGGGTCAGTTCGTCGAAGGTGTGCAGCCCGCGCTTGGTGCCCAGTTGCGGTTGGCACGAGCAACTGGCCAGTTGAGTGTGGAGGAGCTGGTGCGTCTGCCCCAGGAGCTGCCCGAGGAACCACTGGCCACGTTGCAGTCGCCGGAGAACAGGGATGCTGCATCAGTGGAGGAACTGCAGACCAGGGTGGACCAACTCACCGAACAGCTGGCGGTCGTGAAGACGGAATCGCGGAGGCACGCTCGATCCAGCCGGTGCTACATGTGTGGCAGGCCTGGCCACTGGAAGAATCAGTGTCCCCGTAACCGATCGCTTGTACACAATAAAACTTTAGAGTGCTCCTCTTTTCCTGGGTGGGTCGCGATTAGCGCACTGACACAAGCTACCGTACAAGCCATTGTCGAGGTAGACGGGAAAAAGGAGTTATGTTTGATTGATACCGGAGCAGGCGTATCGCTGAGGCAAAGAGGGAACCAAGCTGAACACAGACCGTGCGCGCTAGCCGTGAGAGCTGTTGGCGGATATCGATTGAAGATTGACGGACTGTCAACGCACTCGATACGCCTAGGCGACAAGTCCGTGCAGCACGCGTTCCTGATCAGCCCAGACGTAGAGCAGACAATATTGGGAGCTGATTTTCTCAAGGGCACAGATGCCGTGATTGACCTAAAGCAGGGAAGGCTGGTGACAAAGTATGGCGCAATCAAGCTTGAAGGTTATCCAGGCACTGTCGTGAGGGAGCTGTGTGTCCGAAAACTTCCGTCTTGTAATGTATCGTCAATACGGGCCGTGGTTGAGGAATATTCCGAACTGTTTACGGGCGATGAGGATCCGTTTGGCTTCTGCCCGTGGATTGAACACGAAATTCCTCTGTCATCAGAACGCTTTCGACCTTATGGCCCCCGTCCGTTGCCGCTCCATCTACGGGAGGAGGTCCATAGACAGATTCAGGAGATGTTGAAGAATGGTATAATCGAAGAAGCCAACAGTGCGTACAATTCCCCAGTTGTGCTTGTAAGGAAGACGAACGGAAAATACAGGTTTTGCGTGGATTTCCGGCGCTTGAATGAACTGACCGTAAATCGGGTTGTGGCTGTGCCTTCGGTTGCAGAGATTTTCGATTCCCTCCAGCACTCCCGATACTTTACTGTGTTCGACTTGCGTTCCGGATATTGGCAACTACCTATCAAGGAGGAGGACCGGGAGAAAACGGCGTTTACGGTTGGGGACATCCAATATCAATTTAGACGAATGCCGTTTGGTTTGTCCGGGGCACCATTCACATTCCGGCGCTTGATGCTTCGTGTAACCAAGGGACTCCAGAATGTTGCCGTGTACGGAGACGATATCGTTGTGTACAGCAATTCGGAACCAGAGCACGTAGTTCACTTGAAGGCTGTGTTGGAGCGGATCCGGGAAGCTGGCCTGCGGATAAATGAAGCCAAGACACAGCTCGCTCGGAGTTCGGTGACACTGCTGGGGCATAAAGTGGGTGAGGGAGAAGTTAGCCCACTGCCCGAAAAATTAGCAAAGATCAAGGATTGTGCTGTTCCCAATTCAAAGCGGTCTCTACGGCAGTTTCTTGGACGAGCAGCATACTACAGCCGGTTCGTTAAGGATTTCAACAAGATCGCTGCGCCACTGTACGATTTGCTCGGTCAAAATCGGAAATTCGAATGGACCGGAGAAGCACATGAAGCTTTTGAGCGTGTCAAAGCGCGGATGTCGGATCAGCAACTGACCCTCAAACTTCCCAGGGTCGGAGAGATGTTCATTGTTGCAACGGACGCCAGTGATCGCGGTATCGGCGCAGTCCTAAAGCAGAGGAATGGAGTTATCGAATATGCCAGTCGCGTCCTGACTAACGCTGAACAGAAGTACTCCACCATTGAGAAGGAATGTTTAGCGATCGTCTGGGCCCTGGATAAGTGGAGACCATATCTGCTTGGGCAAAGGTTTCATGTCGAAACCGATCACAAACCCCTGGAGTGGATCAGGACCACCAGAGATCCTCGCGGGAAGCTCGCACGCTGGGCACTCCGGTTGCAAGAGTACGACTTCACAATCCAGCACGTGCCCGGGAAGGAGAACCACTTGGCTGATTGGCTGTCAAGGCCAGAGGCTGAAGATGAGGTCCCCAAGATCATGATTGGAGCCAATGGCCTCGTCGTCGAACTGGATCCCGGAAAGTTGGTGCAACTCCAACGGCAGGATCCGGTGTTACAAAAGGTTGCAGCCGCCTTGTTGGATGGAAGGAACATTGAGAACGGAGAGGGAGACAAGGAATTAGAAGCGTTCCAGAGTCACTTTGATCGGCTGAGGCTGAATGAAGCTGGCATAATTTCCTGGAACGCCACTGATTCAGATGTTGTGCTGCCCGTGATACCTCGCGTCTTGAGACGGAATCTCATCGTTGAATGCCATGAGATGGCACATACAGGGTGCACCAAGACATACGACCTACTTCGGCAGAGGGCCTACTGGCCCGGGATGAGAAGTGAGGTGATGGATTATGTGGTGTCCTGTAAGCGTTGTCAACTAATGAAAGCGGATACGACAGGGGCAACCCATCCCATGGAACCCATTCCTGTCTCAGAAATCGGCGAGTTGTGGTCAGTTGACGTCATGGGCCCCTTTCCGGTGACAACCAGTGGGAACCAATACATCGTGATGATGACAGAACACCTGTCGCGATGGATTGAGGCGGCAGCCGTGCCGAATCAGCGGGCGACGACGATCAGCGGAGTGGTAATGCATCACATTGTGGCCAACCATGGGGTGCCAAAAATGATCCTAACCGATCAGGGGCCTTGCTTCGAGAGCGAAGAGTTTCGTAATTGCTTGCAGAAGCTGGGTATCAGACGGCTAAGGACGGCACCATACCACCCGCAAACAAATGGCCTGACCGAACGTAACAACCGAACGATCAAGGAGTGGCTTGCGGCCAAAGGAGGTGACTGGGAAATGAACTTGCCAATGGTGTTGTTAGCTCATCGTGCTTCCACGCAGTCAACCACAGGCAAGTCCCCGTTTATGTTAATGTACGGTCGACATCCGCGCCTTCCGGTTGATCAGGAAATTGGGTTGTGGCCGGCAACACGCTTGTCTCCGGAGGAGCTAGAGGAAGAAAGAAAGAGAGCTCGAGAAAATTTGACCGCCGTTCAGGAAAGGGCTAGGCAGAAAACGGCAAGTAGAAAGGTCCGAACGTTCCCCATAGGCACGAAGGTCAAGTGGAAGGATCACCAGAATCCTGGAAGGAGTGGACTGGGGTCGCGGAAGCTGGGCAGTCGATGGCAAGGGCCGTTTGTCGTCACCGACCGCCGGGGGAACGTCTATACCATTCAAGATGGTCGGGGATCGAAAGTAGTGAATGGGACGCAGCTGCGCAAGTGGCATGATACACCTGAAGAGCGGCCGAATAGACCCGCTGGCGAAGCCGACCTGACGGAGGGAAATGAAAATCGATGGCATGCGAACGAGCTTCAAGGGGTGGTGTGTAACGGTGATACTACTGATCAGGGAGGCACGCGAGTAGTATGTGTTCTTCGTAGAATTTCGCTCTGCGTCGATTGAAAAATGGAATTCTGTTGCGGAATTCGTGGGACCATTTTGTAACATTTGCTTGGATTTGAACGACGAATGAGTGGTGGCAATGAATCTCTAGGAAGACTCGTTCGGGAGAAGATCCGTGTACAGTTTTTGTAACTAAGATGCAGATTAGAGTTTTGCTCCCCTGTTCAATGGTCTGTAACCGGTCAGTTGGCATTTTAGAGTGAATAACTCCGCAGCGAAGGTCTTCTTCCTTTGGTATGTATGTGCACAATTAACTGCTCTCCACTAAGGAAAGAAGTGTACGCCACTCATGTTGGTCAACCCGATAGCTGGATAAACTCTCAAGATCACTCCGCAGCGAAGGTCTTCTTCCTTTCACAGGTATGTGCACAATTAACTGCTCTCCACTAAGGAAAGAAGTGTACGCCACTCATGTTGGTCAACCCGATAGCTGGATAAACACTCTCTCAAGATCTCGACATAAACAAAAGTTTGATTGAGTTTTACTCGATCATTCAGGGCAGCGGTTAGTGTCAGCAAATGTTTCATGTATCCGAATAACACCACAACATGCTGGCAACGAAGTATTCCGCAAAAGAATATTTATTACAAAATCAGATTTGCTGGCGTAGCAAACAAAAACGACCAGTTAAGGGTGGTAGGTGTATACACCATGTATGCGCAGTCAAAGTCTGCCAAACCGTTTGGGTGGAATCTTCGCAGAAGACAAGTCATAACATGACAACTTACATGTAGCTACAGTACTGTGGAATTTTTGCGCCTTCTTGACTGAGGCGAATATGATCCTCCTTGTAAACAACTGGGCACACTGCAGTCCACTGTGAGCACCCAAACCAAATAACCCACACGTACTGTTGAATGAAGTCTACCTATTATTGTGCATTGAGCTTGTTTTGGGTAAGGTTTATGAAGGATACCGGGTCGATTCCGTAGATGGCATATTACGCCAACGTGACGTTCAGACATTTCTTGCAATGCTGATCAAATGTACCTTATTCTTTGTCGTATTCCACAAAGGTACGGGACGTCTTAGCGATAAGTACTTAACTTTTCTTACCTTTTGACTCATTTCTAACGCTTTACTTCCTAGCAGTTAAATGCCAGTATGTAATACTTGTTTGTTCCTGTCACTGATAATGAATTGGGGTGCTACCTTTTCGGGTCGAGGTCTCGACGGATTTGCACGTAACTCAATTCATTGACGGTGGAATTTATTGGCATCAGTTTCTGATGAGTAACGTATATTTTCAGTCCAAAGATTTGCATAAGATCAACTGTGTGCTACCACTGATCCCTCCTTGTTTAGGAGCCATTTACACTCCACTGCAAAAGCAGCTGCGTGTTTTCACACACACACACACACACACGTGATTTTCCCTCAGGGATTTCGGTAAAAGCAGCTTTGAAGAGTAAATGATATAGCCCCACTCCGCTGACAACTTATGCCATTTTGACTAACAGTTTGGAACCGCTAGCCAGAATGTGAACACTAATTAGACAATACTGGGTACTGGTTCAACTCTTTGCCTATACACTCTCAGCTCCAAGAGGTGGAGTGAACCTGTTTCAGTATGCTCACCTATAATACCATATACTTCACTCATCGCAATAATACCCAGGTTTAAGCGTTTTCCATTGATAATCTAAGTATTTCTATTAACAACGACGTTAATTCTCCTTTTAACTGTAGTATGGCAGATCCATAGAATGGGGGTCGCATAGGTCATATCATTCCTTTTCCTCAATAACTTGAGCCTGACCCTGAGGGAACTTGAGCCTTGGTGAACCTCTGTGTGTCGACAGACAGATCGATGTTCCATTTTCAGATGTAAAGTAGAAATCCTAAAGCCTGAAAATGACCTGGCAGAAGCAAATATTCCGGTGCCAGCCATGTTATGAATATTTATGAACATAACGCACAAATTGTCACCTAATCTTGATTGGGTTTTAAGGCTCATGATACCGAACACAAAGGAGCCATAAGGAAACTTACTTCAGGAAAGTTGTAAATTATTTCACGCAATTGTTAATCTCAGAGAGACTAAATTTCTGTCTTCAGTATATCACAAACCTATGAATAAACACTACTGTTAATGTACCTCAACGGCAGTATGGCCATAAAAACGATTTTCCATTCAGTACTGTGGACGGAATGTAATACGGCGGTAGGTTATTCGTTAAATTATGCCAATAAACTATTGACAAGCTCATCCAAAAAACCGCATCCTACTCAGAAGTCCTCAAAGGCGTTACCACGGCTCCACTATACGAGTCACAGCGTGTTTTGAAGGCCACAACTCAATTAACTGGGCTGTGTTTTCTAACCCTACATTACAGCTGATCATCTTTTCATTGTTTCTTTCAATGATTTTCAACTGGAGGGCAAAGCTGTGTGAACAGATTACCAGGTTTCTAGGGCTGGTAACATTCCTGGCTACTCTGATGAGACCCGTAGTCACTTAATCATTCGAAGCTTGTTGAACTCGGCAAAAAATTTTACCTATCGTGCAGACGTTCCTAGTAGGCTTTTCCTTCTCAGTTATTTTATACGACAATATAAAGCCGAAATGCTCAACCGCAAAAAGCATATCTTTTTACATAACCAAGGGCTATTGTGAATATAATGCGATTTGCATTTTTTCGGGGCAGTTATTTTATTTTGTAGGACGGTGCTTGAATGAGTAGCTGTTTGTTTGAGATGAAACTCCGACAGCCGAAATCTGAAAGTGAATTGAATTGACCATCCGGAGTCAGATACAAGGGGATGAGTTAGTTGCTTTTAAGAACCATCGGGTTTATACCAATAACTCATTTCCACAAAAACTCACTTTCATCATTCTCCCGTTTATCTAGATGAACAGTAGTTAAGCTAGCAGGTTTCCGATTTTCAGGTGGCTGCAGATTAGAACATGACTGGGAGTGGGCGACAGGTAGTTGTCTGGGTTCAAAGTCCGTTCGATAGAGCTCCACACTACTTTGCTGCTTCTGTAGTCTGTGCGGCTCACCGAATCTTCCTCCGTTATGAACTTGAGGTTTGGTACTATTCAAATTCAAAAGCCAAGTCGATAATCATAAAAAGATAAACGAAATGCCACTTATGCTTTCTTGTGTGTGAGAACCCTCTAACAACTAGATATGACTAAAAATCTGGTCATGTATGTGATCATAAATATGGGTTCCTTACTTCAGCAAACGTGTTCGTCTTATACAACTAATTGGCGGTTTAAGTGCCTACGGAAAGTTACGAATAAATGCGATAGAATTCCACAAATCCTGCTTGGTTTCTCTCAATCAACGGACTTTACCCACAGAGCCAATAAACATCGAAAATGTGGAAAATAAGATGCCTATAAAAGTCTTGCAATCATGTGGTCGGTTCCTGGCAAACTGCTCTTTCAGATGCTACGCTTGACATTAAAAGTCATGCGGCCGAATATTTACTGGCTGATTGGCTGACAGACAATATCTTACTAACGTATGCTACACCCTACATCGGTTGCAGAGATGCATGAATAAAAACCCAAAATAAGTTTCTAAAATAAAACCTACTTGACGATACGATGCAAGAAAACTAACATGTATAAGCCAGAGCCTTACAAACCGATAAATGGTGTTTTTAAAAATATAGAGAATTTCTCGTGATTGACCTATGTACATGATTTTTACCACGATATTTATTTGGATTGAACCGCAAATGATGAAAATGAGTCATTATTAAGAACACAAAAGTTTCTGTATTCAGGCACCTTCAAGACACTCAACCAGTTGGACCGCGTAGGTGCGGAAATGTTATTCATCCATCTTTTACCCTGGCAGTCTACGTGTGCTCCTCCCATGCTTTATACACAAGAGGTGCACAAATCTGAATACTGTACACTAATCTAACTTGATTCTTATCAGGTTGGCAACCCACTCAGGATTTCCTTGATGACGAAACGAAATTATATAGAGTTAGGAGGCTCGTCAGGAAAGCTCCAAATTCTTAGCAATTACTGTCATCAATAGGATGACTATCAGTTGAGGTATTTGTTCTGTTGAAGTAATCTTCTGTTCTTGGTCATTTACTACTGTTTGTTATTCTTCCTTCAATTTTCCGCAATCACTTCTGAGTCATATATTAAAGTAGTAGTTGTGACGCCTAAATGGCCAGCACTCATTACCGTTAGATGTGGGTGACCGTTATCACCAAATAGATGGAAAGCCTATGTTTATTCATGGCTATGTTCCTCTTACGTTTTCGAAGGTGACACTCTTCATCCAGATATTCCAGCTAGCAGTGCACTTAAATATAACATTAACAAATTATCAAAGATTCCCAGTTTTCTTACAATTTTGGATGTATAGTTTACACAGGTGACACTTCGAGCGGGAATTACGGGCGTTATGTCATATTCGTATTTGTAGGTTTCCGTGTTGTATGCAAATCCTTCGAAACCAATCTGCCCCACAGTTGGAAAACACCTAAAGAAACCTAGAATTCCTACCCGCACAAACGCACCACGTGTTACAGAAGTTCACTGCGTCTCTTCTCGAATAAATGTACCAGAGACACGCACCTGAGTGGACAATAGTTGGCTTTACATGAGTGCACATATCTTGGACACCTTAAGCGTACCTGAGTGGACATAACCTGCCATCACTTCATCAATGATTAATTCCTCCCTTTTGTTTTAAAGTTTTTCCTCGAGGGGTTGTTGGTGTTGTATGTATCACATATATTGTATGCATGTATTGTACGCATTGTGTGTATTGTTACCATCCTCTTTTTCTTCAATTTCTCAGGATCAGACAGATCTTTGGGCACAATCTGCTAAAATTTGGGGTCACCAGTGATCGCTCAGAACTAGTTTGTCTAGTAAGGGTGAAAGATGTGCTGCGTATTTTTGCACAGCACCATTACAGCGCCGCTTAGCAGTCAAACGAGTGTCAATAAGTCGTGTTGATCTTAGATTGTCCCCTGTATCCATTTGCTCCAGAGGTCTCCTCCAATTATTGTTTTGCAGTCAAAGCCACGGACTAATTTTTGTCGCAAATATTAGATATGAACATGTAAAAATCAACCAGCTTTCATAATAAAACCGGACAGCATATTTGCCGACAGCAAAGCGTTCCACATCTTCCGCAACGTCACTGACAGCAGCATTCACCGAAACGTTCCAAGGCACCTACACGACAAAATGTAACGTCATGGCTTGGTCAAAAAGTATGGAAGAGAGTGCCTCTTGAATGTTGAAACCAAATCTTCAGTGAGGTTTGTGTAGACCACCTCCTAGAGGTGACGTGAAACAGATATGAAGCTTTCACGGCCTCTATCACTACAAATCCCTCATCATGTATGCTTACATCTGTTGCCAACCCAGTGACTCATGTTGAGTAAAGTTCCGATTTGTTTATTTCTCCTACAGCAAGCCCCATATATAGATATGTGAAGAAACCGGAAACGTTTGCGCCACAAGTCATTGAACCATTTTTCCATCTAGACCAAAAGATAGTCACGACTTCATATAAAAGCTGAATGCACATCTCTTGCTGAATTTCGATTTCTAAATTGTTAAAGGTAAGCTGTAAATAGTTTCTGCTGGGATAAGAATGGGATCAGCTGGTTGTGATATCGAAATTCAAGAGGTCATATGGTTCACAAATCAAGTTCAACAAACTTCCAATACTCTGCTATAAATGTTTCTGGCCAGTTACTGTCCAAACTCGTCGAATTTTGCTTCGTCCTCAGAATCAAGCTAGTTGATGCCCATAAGCGAAAAAAAACTTTTTCTGTCAGAATAATGCAGCATTAGAGATGGAGTCAAGCTTCAATGGAAAGGCCCCATTAGGCTGCAAAAACGCGAGCAGTTTGCCAAAGTCCGACGCATTTCGGTCTATACCATCAATCACAGATGTTAAAAACCAGATTAAGCCTTATTCGTGAGTCAGTGACTGCGTGCCCTTGTCCTCCTGTTTTGATAATACTCAGCACTTCGAAATAATATAACGTCATAAGTACGTAGGTAATATGTCTCTACATGAACTAGTATCTGAAGGAGTGTTAACTTTTAGGGCGTCCTAAGTAAACACTTTTGTGACTGGCACACTTTTATTTGAGGTAGGTCATCGAGTTTCCAGTACACTTTTTACCCTATTCGTGATGGGCTGGGTCCGCATCCATCATACGAACACCATAGAGACTATACCATCTAAATCTCTTAAGCATCGGAACTTCACGGCCAGCTTTTTCGCCTGTCATTCTTTATTGAGTCTTTCCATGTGGTGTGGTTTTACTATATAAGAGAGTAACAGCCCTTCACAAAACCGTTTACACTCGATTTGCGGCGAATGAGGCTGTCACTAGGAGAGTCGCACCAATCACACTCTACCTTGAGATCAGAATAAACGACAACTATTTGTTGTAATTGTCACTGTTTGGGGTGCATCTCGCCTAGTCCGAAATCTAACTCTTAGTTTAGGGGGCCAACTATAAACGAACTTCATGGGAGCCTAAAGTGCTTGACAGTTGCTAAAAAACAGAATACCACCGGAGGCATATTCTGAGTTTGCCCCTCTAAAGTTTAAGACAACCTTGGGACGGTAAAGGGTTTGAATTGTGTTTCAGAAATATCTGTGAGTGACGTTGCATAACAATCGTTATAAGTTCAGAAAGTGTTGCCGCAATATTGTTTTCTCTTCATAGGCAAAACGTACATGGATGGAGCATTAAATTTTGACCCCCTACTAAACACCCTCGCAATTTGTTCCCTTCTGTTACGTCTACTGTAGGCTACAATATCTGAGTTAAAAACCCAAACGTTTGCTTATTGCCCAGCTATGTATGGGATATAACGTCTTACTAGGTATAGTAATGTTTTATAAGGCTGATCGGCAGATTAATCTCTGCCAGTGTAGAACACATCCGACACAAAATACTTTGTATCGACCCGATTTCCTCAGCTATGAATACTGCATCACACGCTCAAGTCTCTCGCGAACTGTGGACTGATTTCCGCCAATACTTGAGGTGACTGGCTTAAGTGGACGTATAGCCGCTTAGATTCTTGTGCAATTGTTTAGAATAAAGCAACTTCGGCAGGCTAATGCTCGATTCGCCGTTGTTCAGTGCAACCATCTAGTGGTGATGTTCCGAGGTTCCTGCTAGCCGGTAGACCACAACTGGCTTAAAAGAGCTCCGTAGGAGTGGGTTGGGAAGTACAGTGATGAGCCCCACAGTTAGTCTTACTAAAACGTTTGATCATAACGTTCGCTTGACGGCTTTGCTCAATTTGTCGTCACAGCTCTCGTGCGCCAGTAGCATTACAAGGTTATGCAGGTGCGGTGCTTTGGGAGTTTCAGTGGCGACGTACAAATACGGATGTCTCTACTCATTTCTACTCACAATTCCAATAGCCAACATCTACTCCGCACGCCAGGAGACCGTCTGTCTCGCAAAACTCTAATTTGCCTTGAACTGTGCCGAGTGGAAGCGATGAAAAGATAGACAGTGTATTGCCTGACAACGAAGTATGAAAACACTGACCAGTAAACTTAGTCTAGTAGGCAAATGTCACCTCGGTGGATGGAGATCCAGGAACTGAACTAACTAATGGTTATTAGTCTGAGGCTTAAAAGAGCTCCGTAGGAGTGGGTTGGGAAGTACAGTGATGAGCCCCACAGTTAGTCTTACTAAAACGTTTGATCATAACGTTCGCTTGACGGCTTTGCTCAATTTGTCGTCACAGCTCTCGTGCGCCAGTAGCATTACAAGGTTATGCAGGTGCGGTGCTTTGGGAGTTTCAGTGGCGACGTACAAATACGGATGTCTCTACTCATTTCTACTCACAATTCCAATAGCCAACATCTACTCCGCACGCCAGGAGACCGTCTGTCTCGCAAAACTCTAATTTGCCTTGAACTGTGCCGAGTGGAAGCGATGAAAAGATAGACAGTGTATTGCCTGACAACGAAGTATGAAAACACTGACCAGTAAACTTAGTCTAGTAGGCAAATGTCACCTCGGTGGATGGAGATCCAGGAACTGAACTAACTAATGGTTAA